CCGGCACAGGGTCGTTGAAATGCATAAAATACATTATACTCTCATATCTATGCCTGGCCATGACAGCAGAGAACACGGTCATTTGATGAATCGGGTCTGTGGACCAATACAATCGCAGTTAATTTTTTTTAGTAATGCCCATGTTGAGGGTTAGGCCCCCCAAAAAAACGTAAATTCGGAAACTGTAATGGGTTTCCATGCAGATGGTCTGACAAGGTCTGAATTTGGGTTGGCGGCGATAAACTGTTGTGCATATAAATTGCTTTGATCCACAATCAATGCATACAGATATTTTGTGAAAAACAGCTCCAAAAAGTAGTTAAATTTGCTGTTTCCACCTGAATTCCGGGTTGGGCAGTGAATGGGGAAGTACGGGTGCTGCAGAATTTATGGGCTGCCAATTGGGATTTGCAAGCACATCCGGAAGCACACTAGGGGCTCTACGGGCCTGTGTGCGAATTCTACGTGGTTGCGGGACAATACTTGTGCTTGCCACTGCCACCGCACTGCATTTGTACTGCACTTATGGGACTCACCACTTTACCAAGTGATACTGCAGTACTGGTATGTGCAAGACCAGGATGTACTAGGCCGTTGGTGCTCTCCAGTTCACCAAAAGGTAGCGTGGCACTAGTATTGGCACTCTGAAGCATATGAGAGTTATCAAAATTTACTGGCAAGTGCTAACAGAGATTTCAGGCCTGATTCTGCCAACACTGGGGTTTTGTGTGCAATGTATCAAGTGACAGTGACCTACTGACACTGCACTTGCTGGGGGAGAAGGTGGGGGGTAAGCGTAGGGGCTAAACGCAGGTGCCGGGGCTGATCCCGCTAACGCTGCGTTTTTGGGGTCACTATACTAATGTGAACGCTGATATAGTGCTGATCTGACCAAAGATATTGATCCGTTCAGACACTATATTAGCAATGGAGGTTTATTGTGTGTGAGCGTGTTCCTGGCAAAAGGGGTTAAATGTGATTACTGGTGTACTGACTATCTGGGAGGGGCGTGAAAACCACAGGAGCACGAATCACACATATATATATATATATATATATATATATATATGATTTTGCGCACCAGTGCCGCCTGTAGCAATATTTCTGCTATAGGGAGGCCAGGAAGTGGTTACAGAAGCGGTTTGTGTTACTGCACTGCGTTACTTCAACCGACAATTGCGCATTCATGCAACGCTGCTCCAAAATGAAATTTACGTCCTTTTTTTCCCCACGCATTGAGCTTTCTTTCGGTGGTATTTGATCGCCTGTGTGTTTTTAATTTTTACCACTATAAAAACAAACACTGACAATTGTGAGAGAAAAAAAACAATATTTTGGACTTTTTGCTATAAAACATGTCCAGTAAAAAAAAATTAAAAATCAAATTTCGTCATAAATGTAGGTGAAAATGTATTCTGTGACATGTCTTTGCTTAAAAAAAATCCCAATACGTGTAAATTAATTGGTTTACGTGAAAGTTATAGCGTCTATAAATAGCGGTATAGATACTGGGATTTTTTCTTTATATACTAATAATGGCGGCGATCAACGATTTATGGCAGCGATCAGCGATTTTGACGGGACTGCGGCGGACATTCTGACACTAGGGAGAACTGACTTGGAGTCACTGACATCCCCAGTGACACCAATACAGTGATCAGTGCATAAAAAAAAAAACTCTGACACTATACTAATGGCACTGGGGAGGAAGGCTTTAACATTAGAAGGCAATCAAAGGGTTAACTGTGTGAGGGGAGTGTTTCACTAGAGGGCGGGGGTGTGTGTTTCACTGTAAGCACACTGATCCGGAAGGCTGAGCTCAGCGATCCGGATCAGTGTGCTCAAACTGGCAGGGAGGAGAGCAGTCAGTGTTTGACGAGTTCCGGAGGGAGGACACCTTCTGCTTCCGGTCGCCTAGGCAATCGGACCGGAAACAGGAACAGGTACCTGTCAAATTCGGGTACCCGCTCCCCCCCGCCCCCCAAAGGTGCCAATCTTTAATGAGGAGCAGGGGAGCAGTCCTTAAAGCAGAACTTCCCCTTTTGGGTGGAGCTCCACTTCAAATGACCTTAACTCTTGGAGATCTTGGTTATTAGGAAAGCAGTAGTATACCTGTTTTCACCAAATATATACTATACCTAATTTGTTTGATAAAATAAAGAATTCATAGGCAAATGTTATTCTCTAACCATAAATACACTGTTTAATTAAACGAGTGTACCTCCTTTACAGTTGTTATAATGTTTCATGCCATTACAATGTATATCATATTGCTATCATAATGCTAGACAAAAAAAGGGGAGAATACAACGGAAGGGGGAAAAAGTGTAAATGGACTTTAGAGGCACAGAAACTCTATACACATATCGGTAAAATCACTTGTACTTTATTTTGACAATAATAAATGAAAAAACATCTTTCAGTTAAAAAAGATCATTGTACAATGTCCCCGCAGACAATGTCCCACAACCCACCATATTGAATGGAACAAAACTAGTGATAGAGTATACAGTAACCACCAGAAGGTCCTATGGGGGGGTGAGAGACATTGAGCCGCTAGAAGAATGGCCCAACATGTTTAGCGACAACAATCGCTTCTTCAGGGACTTAGTAGTAAAATCTAGAAAGGATATACATATGTTGAATCTATCAAATTACATCATATAATCACAGAAAGGGTCATACAACAATGTAAGACTTACATATAGTATTAATATGCACCATGCATCGATAAACCCTCCAATCATAAAGGACAGGCCTCCTCTACTTTCCCACAAGTGAATTTGCCCCAATGCTTCTCCCTAGAAACACTGTTCAGACAATTAAGTGGGTTGTGGTGGGGAGGTTCAGCCACTTTGCAACCATATAGATGATGGGGCATCTTCTGCATTGCCCATCTGACCTCAAACACTTCTTTTCTAGGGTTGCATAGGCTAACTCTTTCCTCCTGGTGTCCCAGGTACTAAACATCTACCACTCCCATCTGACACTAACTCTTCCAGTTCAAGCATGCTGCAAGCTGCCATAACATGTGCTGTGCTGGCATAGTGTGTGTGAATCAAGCTAGGACCCCAAATATTCTGTGTCACTTGAGCCCTGGTCTTATTGATTCTCAAGTGGCTAATGTCATTGGTTTCCCTCCTTTTCAGCCATTAGGAGGACTCTGTAAAGGTAAGATAAGCGTTGAAGTGTTGATGTAGGCATCTGGTAATTTTTTTGCCACTTTGGCAGATTATGGCTTCCACAAAACTGTCTGTTGCCTGCAGGCAGTGCCGGGACAAGGTCATCAAGCGCACATGCTGAACAGCACCCTCCCCCTCAAATATATGAGCATTCACACACACACACACACACAAAATCAAGTGTTAATCTTCACACTTACCCCCTAAGCAAAAATTCCATTTGCAAGAAAATTCTTAAAGAAAAAATGTACCCACTTCCATTACAGATTCTCCCTCCCAGCTCAAATCTGCTCCCTCCCCAAATCTCCCCTCTTAGCACAAATCCTCTATCCCTCACATTTCCCCTATGAGCATAAATCATCTCCCCCTCTCCAAATCCCCCTCACCCAGCACAAATCCCCCCAGATCCTTTATCCTAGCACTAATCATCCCCCCAATTTCCCATTCTAGCACAAATCCCTCCAAACATCCCTACTAGCACATAATCCCCCTCCCAATCCCTCTTCCTAACACAAATCCACCCACGTAGTACAATCCCCCTCCACATCACCCTTTCTAGCACAACCCTCCAAACCCCCAACCACGCCCATGGCAGCCGATCCTCCTACACAGCCCTTGTCCCAGCCCTGCCTGCAGGACAGATATAGAGCAACTGATCCTCAGATCCTTCAGGAACACAGTGGAATTTATTTTACGTCTCTGGTCCACTAATGGAAATTGGTACATAGACAATCTACCACAACCATTTAAGAGTCTGCAGGTCCATTCTGCAGGGACCTAAATATCTCACAGTACACATGAGGTGTGAAATGATACTTCATTGTTTTTACATCCTTTACGGCCTCATAATTATCATCCTGTTAATTTGGCAATTTCACATAGGAATCCAGGGATTTGTCTCACAGCGTGACTATCTAAAGTCTCCTTCTCACTTCATACACTGTGGCTTTACTATATCATTAGTTTGCATGCATTGTGCTTCATTTTTGAAGGACCACTTTGAAATGATTTGGAAAAACGCAAGGTAATACACCAAAAAATGTGATAAAGAAAAAAACTATAGCTGTATGCACCTTGAATCACCTAAAGGTAGAAGAATGTATGGAAATGTACTGTGCTGAAAACAATATAAGGTCTATACTTTACTAAAGATATCAATGTCATGTAAAACATTGTAAAAAAAATTTCCATAAAAAATGTGCAAATATAAGTGTACAAAAGTGACAACAAAAAAATTACTCAAAACAGCTCATATGTTACATACAAATAAATTGTTAAAAAATATTCAAATAAACTCCAACAAAATAAATAGCACAAAGTAAAGAATAACATAAATCCCAGTAGTGCAAAATCACAGTTCTTCAATTAAAGTGTGCTCCAAGTGAAAAGGCGCAGTCCTCAACCTTCCCCTAGAGGGTGAATGCTCACCTTCAGAAACTGACCCTCACCACAAAGGTCAGTTTAGCTTTTTGGCAGGCACCAGGACCAGAGAACATCTTCAATCTGCTCCAGTTTGTACATGCAATCAGTCATAGAACCACATGACCCAGTTTCACAACCACATGACTTGAAATTGACCACAAAGTATATCCATCTCTCAAGCTCGAGGAAGAGAAAAAAAAACCCATAGTGCTCACCACTAAAACACAATTTATTAAAAATATAAAATGCACTTACTTTACATGTAAGATAAAACCAAACTGGCTAGCCTGTTTAGTGTTATGAGATGTTTTTGGATAAATTATTGCTGTCACTTTTATACACACATATTTGCACATTCTTGATGGAAATTTTTATACATGATATTGCCAAAAGTATTGCGACATCCCTCCAAATCAATGAATTCAGGTGTTCCAATCACCTCCATGGCCACGGGTGTATAAAATCAAGCACCTAGGCATGCAAACTGCTTCTACAAACAATTGCAAAAGAATGGGTCGCTCTCAGGAGCTCAGTGAATTCAAGTGTGGTACTGTGATAGGTTTAAAAAAAACAATCCAGCAGCACAAAACCTTTCTATTTTAACTACCACCCCTGAAAGAAAAGTCAACAACTTTCACCATTGAAAGTAAACGTAAATGATAACACAATTTTTCTCAACTCATAAATAACTAAAATAATAAATCATAATTAGTGTCCAAACCATGTGAATGTCCTCAATAAGTAATTAAATTAAAGTCTTCTATAATAAGTCTCTTTATCCTTCAAAAAATAAACGTATCTCTTTACTTTATCCCACGTAGGTGTTTCTGGATTTTCGTGTACCTCAAAAAAATAAAACTCAAAATAGTGTATTACTTATTTATGTATGTATTATACGTAATACACTATTTTGAGTTTTATTTTTTTGAGGTACACGAAAATCCAGAAACACCTACGTGGGATAAAGTAAAGAGATACGTTTATTTTTTGAAGGATAAAGAGACTGAATATAGAAGACTTTAATTTATTTACTTATTGAGGACATTCACATAGTTTGGACACTAATTCTTATTTATTATTTTAGTTATTTATGGGTTGAGAAAAGTTGTGTTATCATTTACCGTGATAGGTTGCCACCTGTGCAATAAGTCCATCCGTGAAATTTACTTGCTACTACATATTCCACGGTCAGTTGTTAGTGGCATTATAACAAAATGGAAGCAACTGGGAACAACAGAAACTCAGCCACGAAGTGGTAGGCCACGTAAAATGACAGAGCAGGGTCAGTACATGCTGAAACGCACAGTGCGCAGAAGTCGCTAACTGACTGCAGAGTCAATAGCTGAAGACCTCCAAACTTCATGTGGCCTTCAGATTAGCACAACAGTGCATACAGAGCTTCATGGAATGAATGGCATGGATGCAGCAGCTCCATGACCGAGCTGCTGCATCCAAGCCTTACATCACCAAGTGCAATGCAAAGTGTCGGATGCAGTCGTGTAAAGCACGCCGCCACTGGATTCTAGAGCAATGGAGATGTGTCCTCTGGAGTGACAAATCTGCAACAGGTGTTTCTGCTTAGTTAATGTGGCGCACTCCACTTCTGAGAGTTTCCTGGGCCATTATAATGGCACGGGAAGCTTAGCTAATTTACAGTGTCGGCCGTAAGAACAGGTGCCTAATCAGCATAGCCACCTTCAAGACAAATAAGAATCAGAAAAGGGGATACTTTTGTCTTTGGAGGTGAATCTCCATGCTGGAGTTCATGAGAGATAGATAAAATTGGTAGTTTCATGCATCCAGCTAAGGTTTTGGTGAAGCTGCAAATAACATCTTGGAAATGTATCTTTGATATGTAACCAGCCCCAAATTAATTTTAATGAAATAAATACATTATTTAATTTGTTGCTCATAATGTAAGTATATGAAAAAAATAAAACCCTGTGGACATTAAAACTATACCACACGAAGATTGAATCACCAATCACATATATCTCCTTGAAATATATATGTATCTCATTAAGCAGATTTTCCATTCACTTTCTATCCTGTAGACTAAACGGCAAGTGAGGGAAATCCACACTTAAGCCGGCCATAGATGGTTCGAATCCCGGCCAGGTCAGCAGGTACCAGTAGAGATTCGAACCATCTATGGGCAGGCTGATTGTACCCAATTTAATTGTACGAATTAGGTACAATCAGCATGTTGGATTTTTACATGTGACTTTTGTCAGCAGCTATAGCCACTAGCAATAATTACTGTGTACTCCCGGCAGGGAAGGCTTTTCCACCGCCCCCGCTGGGAGACCACAACAGCTCTGCAGCAGGGATTCTCCCATTAACATTGACTGTGTTGATGGGGGAATCAAGCAAATTTCTTTCCTGCAGCCATCACATCCTCTATGGCCTGCCTTAAACAGTTCTCATGGGAGCAACTGTTCCCTTTGTCAGATTTCCCACCTGTTTGTATTCTGGTGGAAACTCAAAATTTTTAATGTAATCCCACTTTTTATTTGTGGTGACATTGGTGATCAGGGCAGTTAGAGAGAGTGAATCTTCCTAATGCTAACACAGACAGCAATAAATACCAGCAGTGGTTCCAAACCCTCTCCACTATATTCACAAAAAAAGAAAAAGATTTGCCTTTAGTGAGTTGCCCTTAGGTATACTTTAACAATCTTAAATACATTTTTGTATTTCTACATATTATTCCTTTTTTTAATACAGTATACTGAAAGCCAGATTACTGTTCAAACTGTTTATTTTGTTTTGAATAGAGCAGGGAAGAGTTCAAGCACCCGTCAGCGTTTTATTGACATCTGTTTAAACTCCTCTCTACTCTGTCCAAATCCAAGGAAAAGAAAGTTGCTGGAATTAGACTTGAATGACTTGCAAACAACCTCCCAATGTCCTTGATGAAGCTGAAATAAAATAGATTTCTGGGAAACTACAACCTATGTACACTTGCACGTGTACCTTCAATAAGTAACGTGTCTTAAAGTACTGTAAAACTAAATTAAGCAAATAAATAAATAATAACTTACTCACCATTCTCCTTGGCTTATCATCAAAGAATATGAACAAATAAAATCCCCTGGACTTTGAAACTTCCTCCATTCATGCAAATTGTACTACTTCATCTTTTTGATAAGAGTAGTTTGCATGGTTTTAACATACAGTATATAGCCAGGTGCTTGGCTAAGAATGCAGAGTGAGAGAAACACTGGCTGCAGCTGCTCTCTGTACCTGCTGCTCTGTGGGGCTGAACTAGGAGGAAGCTGCTGAGCAGGAAGACTTTGGTAGGCCGCACTACACTGTGGGAACTGTAGTTCAATGGAAAGACTCTACTTTAGTCTGCATCTCCCAGAGGGAGTTTGCCAGGAGAAGGGGAGAGAGCTGCATTTTCTCAGCTGTACAGGACACAGCTTTCTTTTACTGTGAGGAAGATCCAAGATCACATCGCTGTCCAGTATGCACCATCATTGCTGCATATAGGGGCCTAAGCGGGATTCAGAGTGCTGAGATTGGGGTGTAGACAGCCAGAGTTACCTAAGTGCAGAACAGAGAGCGGACTAATTGCTGGGACTGGTGAGCTGCTGCTGTGGGGATTTACTCTCTGCTTCTAGAGATTGAGCCCCATAGGAGCTGATCATATAACGATCTAGTAGCCTTATTGATGCCTGTAGGCTCCACTGGGACTATTCTCATGTGCACAAATGATATAAATGCTGTTCTGTTTGTTAATAAAACACAGACAGCAATAAATACCAGCAGTGGTTCCAAACTTTCTCCACTATATTCACACAAAAAAAAATTTGCTTTTAGTGAGTTGCACTTAGGTATACTTTAACAATCTTGAATATATTTTTGTTTTCCTACATGAGGGGGGCAACATGAGCACATGGATACTAGGAATACCTCTAGGAATACCGCTATCAACTACTCTCCCTCCTCCTATCCTAGCAACAGTCTCCGTATGGAAGGCACTAATCTATGCCACTTGCCCTCCCACACAGGCAGTGATGCCTAAGCTTCCCCTAAAACTTTTAACACATCTTACCCCAGACATTCCCCTGCACCAACTGACCAACCACGGCATATCACACATTCATGATCTCTTTACCGGCTTCTCAAACAAGTCATTCACTTCACTCCAGCAAGAATTCCAATTATCTCCCCAATCATTCTTCACATATCTTAGGGTATCTCATTGCCTCTCTAAAAAATCCTGTCCTCTTTTCACCTTTCTCAAACTCGCATGGTATTACCTATTCTGCACCCCTATAATGAACAAAGGTATCTCACTTTTCTACACTATTCTAAACCAAAAAAAGACATTTACCAAATCCAAGCCACTTTTCCAATAGGAGAATTATCTTGCTATCACATACACTGAGCAACAGTGGACCTGCGCATTAAAATCAATTTACCAATCTATTTGCTGCTCTGCACTTTGGAAATTAACACAAAAGCTTTCCCTCAGATGGTATCTCACCCCTGCCAGAATAGCACATTTCAACAAACAATTCTCCACTCTATGCTGGAGGAACTGCGGGAAAACTGGGGACAATATTCACATCTTTTGGCATTGCCCACTCCTATTCAACTTCTGGTCCACAGTTTTCCAAATTATATCTACTCTTTTGCAGACTCATGTTCCCTCAACCCCAGACCTAGCATTATTGAACCTACATATCGAAACTATTAATCCCTATGCTAAGCACTCTGTCACAGAGTGCCCATGCTTCCCTCACCCCCCTTGCCTGCTGTGACTCAGCCATATCCTTCCACCCCTCCCTCCCCCCTTGCGCATTCCTCTGTCCTTGTAAGTTTCCATGAATGGTGCTAGGCTGGCCGTTGCCGAGGCAACCCAGCAGCGTCCCACATGGCTTTTAAATAGACTGGCACAGGAAGCAGTTTTTCTCTTTGTTCCTGTGCACACTGCTGGAATCATCTTGCTCCCTCCGCTGAATGTCCCAGGGTGGGAGTCTCCGCAGCTCTGCATGACCCCCTCTTCCAAGGTCAGACCCCGCGGCCATGCTACCCCCACTGCTGTTTCTGGCCGCTGTGAGGGCCCCTGCTTGCTGGTCACTGGGCCCTGGAGAAGCCGGCCACTGTGAGGGCCCCTGCCTTCTGATCGCTGGGCCCCTGGAGAAGCTGGCTGGTGTGAGGGCCCCTGGTGCTGATCTCTGGGCCCCTGGAGAAGCTGGCCGCTGTGAGGGCCCCTGCCTGCTGGTCGCTGGGCCCCTGGAGGAGCCGGCCACCATGAGGGCCCCTGCTGCTGATCGCTAGGCTCTGGAGGAGCCGGCTGCTGTGAGGGTCCCTGGAAGCTGCCTGCTGCTGAACGTCCACAAGTCGCCCACCTCCCTGGAAGCCGCCTGCTGCTGAGCGTCTGCAAGTCGCCTACCGTGAGTGTCCCTAGAAGCCATGAACTGCCCGTGGTGTGTGCACAGACTACCTGTGTCCTGAACTGTCCCTGTTGTGCGCACTGACCTCCCCCGTGTCCTGAACTGTCCCTGTTGTGCACACAGACTACCCGTGTCCTGAACTGTCCCTGCAGTGTGCACCGACCACCCGTGTTTTGAACTGTCCCTGCTGTGTGCACCGACCACCCCGTGTTTTGAACTGTCCCTGCTGTGTGCACCGATAACCCATGTTTTGAACTGTCCCTGCTGTGTGCACCGACCACCTGTGTTTTGAACTGTCCCTGCTGTGTGCACCGACCACCCGTGTTTTGAACTGTCCCTGCTGTGTGCACCGATAACCCATGTTTTGAACTGTCCCTGCTGTGTGCACCGACCACCCGTGTTTTGAACTGTCCCTGCTGTGTGCACCGATAACCCATGTTTTGAACTGTCCCTGCTGTGTGCACCGACCACCTGTGTTTTGAACTGTCCCTGCTGTGTGCACCGACCACACCCGTGTTTTGAACTGTCCCTGCTGTGTGCACCGATAACCCATGTTTTGAACTGTCCCTGCTGTGTGCACCGACCACCTGTGTTTTGAACTGTCCCTGCTGTGTGCACCGACCACCCGTGTTTTGAACTGTCCCTGCTGTGTGCACCGATAACCCATGTTTTGAACTGTCCCTGCTGTGTGCACCGACCACCTGTGTTTTGAACTGTCCCTGCTGTGTGCACCGACCACCCGTGTTTTGAACTGTCCCTTCTGTGTGCACTGACTACCTGTGTCCTGAGCTGTCCCTCTTGTGCGCACAGACAACCCGGGTCATGAACTGCCCTACTACACGCCTAGAGTACCCTTACTTGAACCGCCCCATGGCGTGCCCGGAGTATAGCTACCTGTGATGCCCCTGAGTGCTTGGGCATCGCTACCCGTTGAGTCCCTGTGAACCCGATGTCCCTAGGAAGCTGGATGGGAGCTGTGCTGAGGCCAGACTCCACAGCTAGAGGACAATTGAGTCCCCGTGAGCCTGTTGTCCCTAGGAAGCTGGGTGGGAGCTGTGCTGAGGCCAGACTCCACAGCTAAAGTCCCGTTGAGTCCCCGTGAACCCGATATCCCTAGAAAGCAGGGTGGGAGCTGTGTTGGCCAGACTCCACAGCTAGAGTCCCGTTGAGTCCCCGAGACCCCTGCCCAGGGGTAGGTTGCCCGCCTGTTGCCCGAGTCTCCAATCCGCTGTGCAGTCATGGAGGGAGCTCAGCTGAGATGTGAACCTCGTGACCAGGTTCTGCCTGGAACCCCCCAAGCCTAGGGGGAAGATTGTTCGCCTGCTGCCGAAGACCCCAGTCCAAAGGGGGGAAGACCGTACAAGCCACCGCGCTGGAGAAGACCCCCCGTGCCTGGAATCGTCCCTAGTTTGCGCACACATCACCCTCCCTGCCATTTCCCCATTGAGTGTCTGTCATTTTGTTGTTTCAATAAAGCTTTGTGGGTTCCCTATCTTCTCTGCGTGTTCTGTCCTGCCTATGCTTCCGTCACACACTCTATCACTCACATCGTTCTGGCAGCCAGACTTCGCATCACAAGATCCTGAAAAAATTCTCGACCACCTACTGTGTCTGATGCCCTTGCTTTAGTTCACAAACACTGCTCCTATGAGCTTATGATGGCTTCCAGCAAATGCAAATATGAAAAAGTACTCACCCTATGGCTACCATGGTGTCACGGCGCACCTTGTCAATGCATTGACTTGTCACTAGAATCCTATTCTGTTTCCTTATGTCCTGTTTGCTTTCTTATATATTGTTACTATTTACAGATTATTGTACTAATATATACTGGTTTACTTTTGTACCTATTTGGAAAAATTTTCAATAAAAACAATTGACAAATAAACATCTGTAAAATAAATTTTGATAAGAACAGTCCAAATGATCCAAAGTCCAAATGTGTATCCACTGTGAATAAAGAAAATCTTATAAAACAAAACAGGTTCCGTAAAAGTAGTAGGGTAATTATGCACTTATCAGAAGGTTTTGACCCTCTAACCAGAGAAGTCAAAACTGGCATTTATGTATCATAAACTCCGCCAGACCACCTTCCACATCAAACCATGAACCAAACAAGCAGGGAAAGGATTCCGCAATAGAATATGTGGTTACAACTCTTCCATTCCATGGCTCGAAGGAGAGAATAAGCTCCACATAGTGTAAATCATAATAAAACTTCTTTAATAGTATTGCACTTACATATTAGTAAAACCAATATCGCATTTAAAATACCGTCCGGTATACAAAATGAACACGCACCGTAGTTTGTGATGCGCGGTAACGTCCTGGAAGCCCTATGATGAAATGCGTAGGGCGGAGCTACATTGCTGATGTCAGGAGGGTAGTGGTTAATGCCTTTCTTGGTTCTTTGATTTTTGGTGGGGTCCAACTCACTGCACATGTTGATATAATAGGGAACACTGGCCCGAGTCTGAGGTCTTTTGTCTTGCCTTTTTCCTGGTTCCCCGAGGAGAGCTGAGAACCGAGAGCCCATAAGAAAGAACCCTGTAAGACAGAGGATCTGAAACCTGCACGCAGGAGAAGTACAAGAATGTCGCTTTCCACTACCTAGATGTAAAGCCATCAAATCTTGGGGTTCACCCCAAAAACACCAGCTGTTGGAGAATAGCCTTTAATGGACTCTGTAATTATTTGGACTCTAACTCTGCAGGTACGCCAGGGCAGCACATAGCCTGGTTAGGAGCAGGGACTAGGGACTTAGGATGTTGACTGTTTTATTGAAGTTCTGCTGGACTGTCTTGTCTGCTTTGACCTCTTTTATAATGTTGCACTTTAATTCAATTAAAGAGCTACATTTTGCCTTCTGCCTGTTCTGAAGTCCTTTAAAAGGGTGCATTGTAAGTAACTGGCGCTATCACACACTTCATCTACAGCCTGGGTCACTGTCACATGGGGTATGAAGAGTTATTACACTAAGGTCTAAGAGTTACCTTGATGCAAGTTATATGTGTGGTTGCCATGAGCAACGGAAGGTAAAATCGTACCATGTACCTGTTTTAGTGGAATTGCTTCTAGCCACAAGAGAGATGTTGTCGGCACTGTGTCCATCTTGTAGAGCAACAGGAGAGAAAATTCACTGCAGAGGTCCCCATCCTGTACAGAGGTACAGTGGGAAGATGTACATTTAAATAGGGAACCGAGAGTTAACTGGGAGAACAGTTGTTGTGCAAGTGTACATGGTGAACATTTATCTCAGAGTAGAGGTCCACCTTAAGGTCGAGTATTCCCTGATGACAACCTCAACCTTGTCCCAGGGAATTGGCAAAAATGGCACAGAGTAAAGGTACCCCATGTGTGTGAAGTAAAGTGATCCCATCTTAGGTAACTAGCGTAGCCCAGAAGAACCCATCCCGGGGTAGGCCTCTTATGTTTCCCAGACTTGGCACCCAGTTAATTGGAAAACATGGAATACATGACCATCATCCCATCTATTCTACCCCACCTGGCCACAAGTGTTCAGGGCAAGGTTTGCTGGGTGCCAGGACTGGTGAGCAGTTTCAGCTGTGCTTATTATACTACTGTTAGGCAGTCTCCTCTGGTAATAAACTGCTAAATTGCCTATAGCTCCAAACTGATCACTGCGTGTAGCATTAAAGAGACAGTAATCAAAGTGGTCCACCGTACAGGTTGGGCTCTACCGTTAGCTGCTGAAGTTTGCCGGTCAGGAGCCAGATACTGTACAATCACCTTCCAGGGGTACCCCTTTCAGGAAATATACATATACCTACACTCAGGGGAACACTTAAGGAATGCACGCTATTACACCTGTTAGTGATTTATTGCAGAGGGAGACTTTTCCCTACTGTTTTCTCTGGTTCATTATTTATATGGTTCATGGTTTATGCTGCTCTTTTCCAGTGCTGCTGATACTAGGTTAGTTTTGCTTAAGTACCACAGTGATCTAGATTGACTGCCATAATAAAGCTTGGTATTCGCTTGAGTTAGTTTGTTGCATTTAACGGACTCATTTTCCTGTCCATAGATTTCTGTGCATTGCCATTTATTTTGCTTGGTGATAATATACCTATTTTATTTACTACTACATACTGTAGCTTAGTGCCCATTTCTTATATGCTAATACAATTGTGGTTATTACACTACTAACTGAGCTCCTGGGTGCTTGCAGCATTTCAGTACTTAATCAGATGTGTCAAGGAGGGGCTGAGGCAGTTCTCAGAGTCATGGCAAAGAATAGAGTACTCATCATACCAAGCGGCCCCTCTGAGTGTAACCACTACACTTAGAAGTTGACTCTTCTGACATAGATTGCTAAATCAGGTTCAACATCATTAGGATGAAGCAGAATTAAAGAAACACTTATGCTGGCTGCAGCCTAGCTGCTGCCCACAAATCACAAAAATATAAAAGCACCATCTATGAAAGTGGCTGATCCCTACATTCATATTTTATAAAGCAATACTGGAAAGAGGCCTTATAGGTTCCCATCAACATTTTTATGGTCTATTACAGAAGCATGCTATAGAAAATAATGTTGAATTAAAGTATTATTCTTTTACGTGTTTTCACAGGAAGCAAGTTGTGGATATGTGATTGTTCTAATGGCGTTATTCTGGTGCACGGAGGCCCTCCCGCTTGCTGTCACTGCACTATTTCCAGTTGTTCTATTTCCTATGATGGGTATCATGGACTCAACAGCGGTATACAACAGTATTTTAATTGTACTGTATAGTGATATTACTATAAAGTTCATACAGTCTAGCAGGGATATTTGGGTGTGATAATTAACTCATAACAACGAAATTGTTTAAAAAATATGTAAAGCTGTATTGATTCAAAAACCTTAAAGTATTAACTACACTGGTGTTATCATAAAAAAGAGAAAAGGTCCAGCCATAATATAAATACATTACATCATCTTTCAATAAACTAAGGCTCACATTATTGTATATCTATCCAATGCGTTTACAGGATCAGCGTCCACTTTATCAAGGATGTACTGCATGTGCACCCTAAAACATGTCCTTGAAATAAATAAATATAGTTAATCCATTGTAGGTATATATATTGCACCATATCCATTTCCTGACCACCCTATAGCAGATGTGCTGCTACAGAACTGCTCTCTGCAAAATCATACATGGCCTACCTCATCGCGGGCTATCCCCTCTTCAGTCTATAATGAATGCTGCTGCCAGACATCATCCACCGTTCTGTATCTGCCACCCCCTCTTACCAATCCCTCCACTGGCTTCCGTTGCCCAATGGATAAAATTCAAAACATTAACAATAACGTATAAAGTATAAATCCAAATTACACCACCGATATCTCTAAATATTGACTCCTTCGCTCCTCGCAAGACCTCCTGCTCTCTATAAATCATGCTCTCGCTCCAGGACTTCTCCAGAGCTTCTCCCATCCTCTGAACTCTCTACCCCAATTTATCACACTATCGCTACTACTCTGCTCACTTTGTAGGATCTCTGAAAACCTATCTCTTCAGGGAAGCTATCCTGCCCTCAGCTAATAATGAAATCTTCATATCCAACCAGTCCATCCCCCACAGTTACTACCTTTTTGTACCACTAGCCCCTCCCTCCTAGATTGTGCTCCGAGGAGCAGGGCCCCTCCTATCCCTCTTGTATTGATCTGTACTGTTGCTGTATTGTCCCCGTTATATTGTAAAGCTGAGCAAACAATTGGCGCTATATAAATCCTGTATTCTAATAATAATATATATATATATGTGTGTGTGTATGTGAGTGATTTTGCCACAGGTGCTTCTGCTGTAATTGTCACAGCAGAAGCCGATATGTGCTGGCCATTGGATGTCACCTAGGAGAGAACACCAGCTCTGTAAATAAGGCAGAGCTGTGTCGTCAGCCTATGCTGTGTTTTTTTCCCTCTGAGCAGGGAATAAAATCCAGCACTTTACCTAGTAAAAAACACCACACTGTGTACACACTGCTGCTGCCCTCGCCCTAGATGTTTAACCCATTCCAACCGACTGTCATTATACAGTGACAGTGTATATTTTTAGCATTGATCTCTATTGCCAATTTCCACTGGTTCCCATAGTGTCAATTGGTCAGATTGTCCATCGCAATATCGCAGTCCCATTATAAGTTGCTTAACACCGCCCTAGTATAAAATAAATAAATTAATAAATAATTCCAATATACCTGTTACAGTTACCGGATCAATTCAAAACATTAACAATTTATTTTTTAACGTATAAAGCCATTTATAACTAGATTTTTAAATGTTTTATTAAAGTAAAAATCATTTGTTTTTGGGTTTTTTTTTTCAAAATGTGTTTATCTCTAAATATCACCCAATCAAAACCGATATACTGACCATTCGCTCCTCCATATAGCCTGGCCGTCATGAAGGGGGGTAAAGACAGGCCTATTGCTCTAGATTCCTTTTGCTCCACCTCTTACCATGTCCAGTTCACTTCTGGGTTCTGTCAGTCAGAGCTTAATGAAAAAACCACCACTCTGGCTACTCTCTACTATATCCCTGACTTTTAATGGAATAAAGCTTAATAGACCTCTTAGCAGTGGTGTCCTACAATACAAATTTAGGTTGGCTATTACAGTGTAATCTGAAATGAGCGGATCCAAAAATGTGGGCCAGTTGTTGCCCTTCCTCATTGAACATAACCCCCATGGTGCCTCTGAAAAGAACTGAAAAAAAAGACCTTAAAATTGGTGCGCAATATGGGGCTAACAATGTCCCTGGGTTGGTAGTATCTGAAATGAAAAAAATTTTCCTCAGTCAGTGGTGTAACTGGAAGGGAAAAAATGTCCCTTAGTCAGTAGTTGTACTGTAAATCTGCTTCAGTGGTGTCACTGAAAAAAAAAATGTATTTGCTTTGGTGGTGTCAGTGACTGGAAAAAACCTCCCTGCGCTGGTAATATCACTGAAAGGAAAAAATGTCCCTGCATTGGTGGTGTCACTGAGAGAAACACCACTACAAAGTTCCTTCCCCATCCCCGACCCCTCTCTCCACTGCTACAGAGCTCCCACTAGCTGTATAAATTTCCTCTGTGAGAACTTTGGAAAATTTTCGCTCACCTCTTGTTCTAGTGGCAGCTGTAAAAGTTTGATTTTCCCATTACTTTCTGAGATTCACATGTCTACATTTTTTCTTGTTGGTTGGGGGGGGGGTTCTCCCTTTGAAGGTTTAACCATGTTTTTATTATCTTTATGGTCCTTTTCATTTCAGGCCTGCAGCCAGTATCTGAAAGACACCAACATGCTTTTCATCGGTGGGCTACTAGTGGCCATAACAGTAGAGAAATGGAATTTGCATAAACGGATTGCCCTAAGGGTTTTGCTCCTTGTTGGAGTCAAGCCAGCCCTGTGAGTTACATATGTGAATGCCTGTATAAGTCCAGAAGCAAGGTTGTGGGTGTCGTGTGCTGCTGGTCAAAAAGATAGGTTTAAAGAATTAGTATAAGTTGCGATGTGTTAACAAACCAAAAAAACAAAATGGCTAATATTGCCTATCAGCAACATTTCATGCATGTGTGTGCATACTGTAGAAATGACTAACTTTCTGTTTCAATATTTTTATTAAGAAAGTTTTGTTTTTTAAGAATACAACAAGCTCAAGATACACCCACGCAGGGGCAGAGCATAACAATAACACACAAACAGATACACTCTGCTCTGCTGACTTGTATTAACCAAATAACGGAATGTCCAATGACATCAAGGAGGGACGGCAAAAAGCCGAACCAAATAGTAGCAGCAGCAATCACTCATATTACCGGAAAAAGAAATAAAACATGGAGGAAAGGAAAACTAGAAGAATCATGGATCCAGGGCTAGCACAGGCAACGACTATAAGAGAGGCCATAACTAGTAGGAGGCAGGGATGGCAAGGAATAACATATCCAAGGTTCCCAAACCTTAAGGAATCTCGAATGAGAATCATTAGGAATGCTAGACATCTGTTCATTGATCAACATAGCATTCATCCGGGTCTTCACCCCCTGGAAGACAACCGAAGGGGTTCTCCAAGCTTGAGCTATAGCACGTTTCGCCGAAATAAATAGGTAGGATGCCAATTTCTGCTGAGATCTAGACAGACCCAAAATTGGGCAATGCAGGAGGGCCACCCTTGCATCCCTACGGACCGTAATATGAAATAGCATTTGCAGCAAACCAAAAACCCTAGACCAGAAGCCTATCAATTGCGGACATTACCACCAAATGTGCAAGATGTCCGAAATGACTCAATTTCAAGCTTTTATACCCCCCCCAACACACACACACCCCAACACACATACACACACAACGTTTTAGTCTTTCCACTGTATTTTGGTGGGCAGATTTATCAGTTCCGATGCACAGATCACACTGCTGGAGTTCCTTAGCGATGTAAAAAGCCAGCTTGTCATTAACCTTTTAGCATATATGTCAGAAGGGTAAAGCAGCATAATATAGTTATGTATTTCTTATTTCTTTCAGGAAGTCTTGTACTTTTGGATTATGCTACCACCTACAGGAGGTATGGACGCCAGCAAACAAAAAAAAAATTGCGAACATGTCAGTTTATCTCCTCCGACTATCAGCATGTCTGTGTTTTGCTAGTGTCCTAGGATGATGGGTGTCTTTGCTCTGCTGATAAAAGTCTAACCTTTTAACTGTCTACTACATATTAGATTCCTAATATGTTGCTTATGAGATGGTATCTAAAAGCAACTTTCCCAAACAGCCTTTCCCAAACTTGACTTTGGAGTGCCATACCTGGACCCCACTGGACTGGAATACAGAGCTAACCTGGAATGTAAACTTTGGGCATTGGACTCTGTATTGTGGTGCTTTTCAGACCGCTGTGTACTAGTAAAATTTATCCATGGAGTTCTTTCTAGATCCAGACCTTTTGGCATTCTTTCAGCTAACCTTGGAGACTCACTTTGTGAAACAGACTGTGTGGATGGATTACCAGGAGTTACCTTACTAGGACCACTGGGTATCATTTAAGTCTTTCATTCGCTCCACCAGGCATGGCCACATTTTGTTCTATTCAGGGAGGGAGGACTTTAATGTAGTCATGAATGTACAGTCTATAGGCACACTCCCCTGCCTTCTCCTGCAGAATTTCTCTCGGATATGCCCACAGCATTACAGGGCTTTGCTCTCAGCCACTAGGACCAGGTCTGTTACTGTGTCTTTCAAGTCACTGATGGAAGAACCTATTCCTGTCTTCTGCCATTATTCCCAAATTGAAAAGGGACTGTTTCAGTGCCTATTGATGTGGTACGCACTAATTTAAAATTTGAGGAACAGACCATAGCTGGACTGCCCCCCTTTGTGGATCGAACAGTATTATGTCTTGATAAAGCATCCACAGTTCCAGAGGAAGATGCATCTATCTTTAAGGACCCCCTTAACAAGTGACTGGGGGCCCTTTCTGGAGAGCCTTCGTCTCCCTAACAGGTCCTGCACTGCACCCTTTCATGACTGTGACCTTAGTCTGTCAAATCTTAGCTGACTGGTCTATTGCCATTAGAAGAGATTCATGGCCTCAACTTCCAAGTCTGGCACCCAGTCCACCTACAAATATTGGATCAAGTCTTTCAAGCTCTTAGAAATATCTTTGGCATGAGAAATTGGAGACATCTCAAAGTGGGGAGACATCTGTTAGCTTTTGCAATCACATGGATAGCTTGCATCTAAGATGCTTGGGTGCAGGTAGTGGTTTCCAGGAGCTACAAGCTAGAGTTTATAAAAAGTGAATACTTGTGAGCTATTATGAATGAGGTGTTCAATAAAATATTAACAGTTATCTGCTTGTATAATGTGCTAGGTTCGCTGGCACTTACACAAACCCACTTAATTGTGTTTCTATTATCCAATTGTATATATTTATAGTGCCGCGTCCTATTTTAAATCCTTAATCGTAAAATATCTCACGCTTATAAATGCATAAACTAATGCATTAATCAATACATAAAAATTGTGACCAAGTAATTACTGTGACTTATAAATAAATTAAAAATAAATATACATAAATCAAAACCATAATATGTGCTAATACATATCATATGTGATCAATCAATATTTGTGCAAATTCATTACTGGATGTGCAAATACAATCAATAAAGTGCATAAATAAAGTCTTTTATAAATATGTGCAATGTGCAGGTGAACTCCTTATTCCCTCTCTCCAGGTGCCGTGTAGTCTCAATATGCGCTCACCTTAATATTTGCCTAAATAAATTTAGGCAAATAGACTTTTAATCCTTCCAGGATTGGTGGGATAGTGCTCATATGTTAAGTGTTCCAAAAAGAGGATGTGGATCTGTTACAATCCTCCTGTGCTCTCCTCTTTCTCCATAAGGAGCTGCTGCATGAATGAGTATTAGAAAGATCTGTGAGAATCTCCCATTTCCCCTGCTGGGGACACCTCTTCCTCGTATCCTCCTTTCCTCAGTATTTCCCCACACTGAGGAAAGGAGGATACGAGGAAGAGGTGGCCCCAGCAGGGGAAATGGGAGATTCTCACAGATCTTTCTAATACTCATTCATGAGCAGCTCCTTATGGAGAAAGAGGAGAGCACAGGAGGATTGTAACAGATCCACATCCTCTTTTTGGAACACTTAACATATGAGCACTATCCCACCAATCCTGGAAGGATTAAAAGTCTATTTGCCTAAATTTATTTAGGCAAATATTAAGGTGAGCGCATATTGAGACTACACGGCACCTGGAGAGAGGGAATAAGGAGTTCACCTGCACATTGCACATATTTATAAAAGACTTTATTTATGCACTTTATTGATTGTATTTGCACATCCAGTAATGAATTTGCACAAATATTGATTGATCACATATGATATGTATTAGCACATATTATGGTTTTGATTTATGTATATTTATTTTTAAATTTATTTATAAGTCACAGTAATTAACTTGGTCACAATTTTTATGTATTGATTAATGCATTAGTTTATGCATTTATAAGCGTGAGATATTTTACGATTAAGGATTTTAAAATAGGAGCGCGGCACTATAAATATATACAAGCTAGAGTTTCACTGGATCTCAAGGCCCTAAATGTATTTAGGCCCAAAAATTAAACATGGAATCCACCAAACCTTCCATAGCCTCCCTTCATCAGGGAGACTTTGTGACCTCTGTGGACATAAAGAACACATACTTGTATGTTTCCATTTTTCCAGTTCATCAGCAATTCCTTGTCTTTGCTGTGGGTCCTCTACACTTTCAGGTTGTGGCATTGCCGTTTGACCTCTCCTCTGCACCTCCGGTGTTCACCAAGGTACTGACCCCTAAGCTAGCTAGTAATGAGCTGGGTTCAAAACGTCAGATGTTTTACAAACCATACAAAAGTTCCAATGTAAATCTGAACCCCATCAAAGTCAAAAGGAACTGAATCTTTAAAATGTATTAGGGACATTTTCAAGGCTAAAAGGTAAAGAATTCTCAAACAACGGTCACAAGGAGCTGAACACTGGTTCAGAGGACATGAACCATTGCAAAAAAGAAAAATGGGGATCAGCTCTTTTTAATAATACTTAATGTGAAACTTTAAAAATGCTAAATTCTTTTAAATAAAATGCTTAGGGGATGTCCTAAACTTGCCTGAGCTCAAAATGTTTTTTGTGGGGAAAGGGTACTTGGGTGAAACTTTATTTTTTTAATATTTTCTTACTAAAACTTAATTTATATTGCATAGGAGACAAAAAGTTCAATATGTGATATAATTTATTTGTGACATTTTGATTTAGTGGTATCAGGGTTTTTTTTAAAACTCTGATGTCCCAGCTGTCTTCAATTGAAGCTAATGAAGCACAGATCATAGTCCACTAGCTTATTTCCTGGCTGTATCAACCAAAGAAAGTGACAACAGAATTATACACGCAATTTCCGGGTTCTTTACAGCTACTCACTGGACCCTCTATGCAGGTCCCAGGCCCGCAGGTTGGACAGTAGAGGCCAGAAATCATGGCAAGGGTGATCATGTAGGGAGGCACAATTCTAGGGGTCACAGAAAGCAACTGGGCAGCTATATAGCCACCAAATAATTTTCATCACAAAGTCAAAAGTCGGCTTGTAGAGTGTACATACTCTATGGAGTGTGTGAAACGCACCGCTGTCTCAACGTATGGCATGTGGAGGGATCATTAAAATGTTTGGTTGCCAGTAAATTACATTTCCCAGATGCTTTGTACTGTTTGTAAACAAAGTGTTTGGGTATTGCTTCAATTATACTATGCTCTTATCCTAAATAAGGATTTAAGGTAGGTATTAAGGGGGGACCCCCACGCAATAAAATGTACCAGACCTTTATTGCTGAATCTCCAGGCTGCATGAGCATCTGATCCAGATTTAATTGGACAATGCTAAGGCAGCTTCACTTTCCAGCCTTGTCCACCATTTACACCCCAGGCCTGAAGGGTCAAGAGCAAAGTTGGCAGATTTGTTTACATGTAAAGGCAGCAGTGGGTAGCTCCCTGGGATTACTATATTCTAATCTACACCTTTCCTCCCTTGGAAAACTCTTTCCCCTTTTGCTTTGCAGGATTGAAATGGGTGGCAGTCCAGTGATCCTCTAGACTGAAATTTATATCTCAAGAACAGATTTAACACCTATTTCACAGTCGCTAGCTTTAGAGATATGGCTGTTGAAGCCCAAATTCCTAGTGACAGGGGCATTTCTGAATCAATTATTCCTAAAATGCAAAAAGTTAGTCTATTACTGCACATGGAAGGCATCAAACTTTCACCCCAGGGAATTTCCTGTGAGATCCTGTTTTTTTTTTTTTTTGCAGATGGGTTTGGAGCAACATCTAGCCCTTAGCACTAACAAGGATCAGGTTTCTGTGCTTCTAATGTTATTTGAAAGGCCTTTGGCTTTCCATTCTTGGTGAGACTCTCCCAGTGCGCTCCCCTCTGACTCCATGGGATCTGAATTTGCTTCTTTCTGCACTTCTAAAACCTCCTTTGAACAGTTTAGAGTACAAAGATGGCGCCTCCTGACGTCACTTCCGGCTGAGGCGCCATCTTTGTACACCCAGAGAGTACACCCAGCAATATACATGAAGCTCTGTAAGCTTGATTTAGAACATGCAAATGTGAGTGTGCTACTTGCTGGTTTACTTTTGTGATATTAAACATACAGTATTACACTATGAGAGTTTCTTCTTGTTTTCAATCCATATATGAGTTGGCTGAGTTTAGCATCCTGTCGATGTGAGAAGCTTTGATATCTGGATGGGTCATTCTCAGTGCTGCATGTGAAGGGGGATACCACCATTACTGCTTAACCTGAATCATTGATGTGGATGGGTCGTATTAATATATCTGGCAATTTGAAGGCTCATTGGCCCTTTGGGCCGCTGCAATAAGGTGAGGGGGCAATCCAGCCATTGGAGGATCCCGATTTTTCACTTATATCACCGTCATCACCAATATATGTAGTTCACTCATTTGAAGAGTGCACAAGGGGACTCTTATATATGAATGATATAGTGGTACATTTTTCAGTAATATGCGGTTTTCTTTGAAAAGTTTATCTTTCACTATCTGTTATGGTGTTGTAACACTGTTTTTTTATGTGTTTGTGTTCACACTTATTTATCCCAATTAGGGAGTGTATCACACCAGTTAGACAACAATTAGTTGTCATTCATCACTTTGATTTTAACACATTGATGTGTTAGGAGGTCATGTGGTTTTAATTAGTTTTTTGCTATCAGGTTTTATCCTGTCCATATCACTTTAGTGCATTCACATTTGTTGTGAGTTATTTTTACACAGCACTTTCTATTGTGGCACAATTTCTGCCATTCATCTATCACTTCACTCATGACTGAAGTCACGTTTTTTCCCCGTTTTTGGGGATGCATGTTTAGTTTTCACTTATTTATGTCATCGTGTGATGTTTTTTTGTTTACTCACGTATGTTTATTGATCTAAGTGTCACATGTTATTATTTATGTCTATATGCATAAGATTATTGGATTAATGTATATATTTATGGGTTGTATTTAGTTTATTTAGATACCATTTAGGGAGCGCAACACCATTTTTTTCATTGTTCATTAGCACATTCAGGTTTTAGTTAGGTGATATATATATTTGGTGAGTGTATAGTTTGTGTAGTTGGAGTAGCGCAGGTGGTTTACCTATTATTATTGTCCCAGATAACCTAAATCCATTGCTCTGGGACACTTTACAAGGCAGCCAGATGGGCTGGTATTTTCTGCAAAGCATTGGGACTTTGCGAGTTTCACCCAGGGGACACAGAGCTCCTAAAAGAGGAACCTTTGCTATTGATTTTTTAGAGACAGATGCCATTCTGGAGGGAGTACAGTCCAGGATCTGCATCTTTTGTATACATAGACAAGGAAGTTTGTCCTCTGATTGTTCTAATAAGTCAAGTTGGGCATCCCATATTCCCTTATCACCATCCAAGCTGTTTTCCCAAAAACAACCCCATGGACTGGTCATTGACTGTGGATGCAAATTGGAAATGCAACTCTTTAAATAGCAGTCCCTTTGTTCTGTTGTTTTTTTTTGTGGGCCTGTTAGCTTGCTCTTGCCCACCCCTCAGTTGAGAGGACTGTTGTTGGATGTCCTGACAGTACAAAATGTATCCTTTTTTATCCTGTAGACGGCAGTAAATCCTGACAGTACAAGACTTCATGTCCCTCAATGGACTCCAAGAGAGGGACTTTACAATGAATTGAAATATCCTATTTTAACAGAAGTCAGCACAGGCTAAAAATTAAATTACTTCAAACTGTAACCTTTGTCATTTTGTATTCTGAAAAGTTCACTGACAACAAACTGAAAATATAATAAAACATAAAAACATCTTTTGTTTCCAGGTTGCTTCTGGGGTTCATGGTGGTTACAGCTTTCCTGTCCATGTGGATCAGTAATACAGCCACCACTGCCATGATGATACCAATAGCTCAGGCTGTCTTGGAGCAGCTTCACACTTCAGAAGAAAAACTTCAAGAGTGTCCATCAGCCTTTGAGAATGTCAATCAAAAGGAAAATCAAATTAATGGATGCACCAAACTGACTTTTGAGGATAAAGTAACCAAGGAATCCAACGCAGAAGATAACCAGCCAAGTGGAAACATAAACCAGACATTTGAAATGTATGAAAAACAACACATAGATTCAGATCATATTAAACAGGAGAAGCCAAGTAAGTTAACAAAGAAAAGCAATGTTAATTACAAATTAAATGTTATGAAGAATGTGACATGCTGATTAACAATTTTAGCAGCGAGAAAATTACAGAGCTGGGGTTTTGATAATAATCCAAAACAGTGCTTTTATGTATCATTTTCTAGCAATCATTACAGTTAGATTGTATACTATATTGATGGAGTTATCTGCCTCTAGAGCAGTGGTTCTTACCCTTGATTGTCTCATACGTGCATTGTATAATGACATACAAAAAGTTTGAATGAAGTAAACAATCTTAACAAAATACTAGCTTATTTTCATGGCAAAAGTAATGGCCACTCATTACAAAAATGAAATACAATCATCTTGTGCAAGTTAAACAAAAGAATGTTAATTCTGCAAATCTACTACTACTACAGGAAAATGAGAATTAGCACTTGCTATTATGGAGTGGCACAAGGTGAGAGTTGTGTAGAGAATGATGATACAAATTTAAATGGTAAACATGGGCCAACAGTCATGAGATACTGAGCAGTCAGCATTATGAACAGTGGCAGGGCGTGATTTCTCTAATTTCTTTTCAATCGACAAGGGGGGCATCCATCGATCAATTCTCTCTTCCTTTGATCAATCAACCATTCCATCGATCAAGCAACTGATCGACCCTTCCTTTCTGTATTCGATTGACCCTTTCTTTGATTGATCAACCTTTGGTTGATTGACCCTTCCTTCTGTCATTTTTTCCTTCCTTTGATTGATCGATCCTTCGTTTGAATGATCTTTCAAAACCACTTCAGGCACTTCTGCCACTTTAGGCAGCAAGGATGATCGAGGAGGAAAGATGAGGGTTCTTATCTATTCTGATGCAACTGCTGTGGAATAACATAGAAGTCTGTGGGGCTGAAGTCGCACTGACGTCGGAATATAATATGACTTCCCTTGTCATGCAATTCTGTGAACCTGGGCTTGAGAACTTATAAAGTCACATTGAAGTCAAATCAATAGACACACTGGAAATTGCAGGAAAATGTCATTAGAATAGTGGGAAGCGATACGAGGAAAATGCAGTACAAACGTTGTAAAAATGCATTAAAAATGCAAAATACATTGTGCTAAATTTACTGCAACATGGGAAAGGTGCAGCAAAAACGCTTGTGTTTTTGATGCGTTTTTCATACAGAGCAATGCGAAAGTAGCCTAGTTAAAGCTAAAAGCCTAATTGAAGCCTACAAAATAGATACACAATCAGTCAGGCATTGTATCTCTTTTTTTTATAGTCTTACTTGCATTTTCCTGTTACAGCAGTTCTGCAGGATTTCTAAATGTGACTGTGCAGTCCAATAGGCATAAGACTTAGACAAGGTGCACTCAGTAATCAGCACTCAACAACAGATCTGGACTGACATTTTCTTTCCTGATCTGCAAAGTCTGGGCAAGGATGAGGATTGTGGCTGGCACTTTTCCAGCACAGAGCACTGCCGTGTAATGGCAGAAAGCAAAAACTTCTGACATAATAAGGTCTTTTAAAGCATTTTTTTCACTTTAGATATAGTGGGAAGATCTGAACCCTTGTCAGGTTTTTACTGCTATCTGGGGCTCTGAGGGATTTCCCTTCACTTACTGTCACAGTCACAATGGTTTCACTGGTCAGGGCGTGAGACAGTAATAAAAAACCTGCTGGGGGTTCTGGCCTTCATTTACCCTTCTAATATTTTTTATGTATTTCTTTGTTGATTATGGAGAGTTTTCCTTACTTCCTGCCTAGTAAAACTGTTGTCACTGGGACAGTAAGTGAGGGGAAATCTATTTAATGAAGCCCCAGATAACAGTAAAACTTGACAGGGGTCCTACTCTTCTCATACTCTAAAACTAAATGAAAAAGTCTTGGCTGGACATACAGCTTAACCCTTTCATTGCCATGAATGCATGGCATATGTCGAAAGCAGCAGGGAGTTTTAAACACGATGAGGTTGATTTACTATAACGAGAGAGTGCAAAATCTGGTGAAGCTCTGCATAGAAACCAATCACAGTCCAGGTTTTATTGTCAAAGCTTATTGAAATGAAGTTAGAAGTTGATTGGCTACCATGCAGAGCCACATCAGAATTTGCAGTCTCCAGTTTTAGTAAATCAACCTCACTGTGTAAATATGACTAGCCAACTGTTGGCTGTCAGATGGAAGCGATCAGGCAACTGTGCAGCTACCTGATCACTTCAAACCCCCCTGGCAGGATTCAACCCCTCTGTGTGCGCCCCCACCATGTTTCTTTGCTCTGGTTCCTATTGTAAATAACCAAAAAATAAGCAGCACTATGGAAAAAACTGAACATATTGAGCAGCTTGCAGGGGAATATTTTATTTATACACCTGTGGCGCAGATAACTCTATATTTGTTTTGATTCTGCACTCCCATTTGTGGACCCGGAATGGTATGGTGGGTGTAACCAGGTAGCTGAGGTGGGGGATGAACTCCATTCACTGATCTCTCCTAGCTGGTAAGAACCTGGAAGCAAAGTGTAATATGTTGATGATAAATTGTGCCGTGCTCCATTGTTACCAATATGTTACAAATCATAAATACATATATGCGTATCCAAATAACAATTTGTGCAATATTCATGTGAATCCACTGTAAAAAACAAAAATCTCCATATATTTAACAAAGAGAAATATCCATATATAATTCTTCAGAAGTTTTGTGTTCACTTGAAATATATAACTTCAGTGCTTCTTAATTCTCCTCTTGATGAGTGAATGGAATCCCATTCAGCAGGACACCATCTCATCCACATTTGGTCCAATTAAAGGGACACAGGCTTTATATGACCTCACTTAACGTTTGGTGTATATTTGATGTGAGAGCACATCCGGTGGGGGTGCACGTATTTAAAAGTATATTCACATAAGAGGGGAATTAAGAAACATTGAATTTATATATTTCAAGTAAACACAAAACTTCTAAAGAATTATATATGGACATTTTCTGTTTGTGTTTTTTTATATATTATGGACATTTGTGTATTTTTTTGCAAAATAGTGGATTCACATGAATATTGCACAAATTGTTATTTGGGCACGTATATATGTATTTATAATTTGCAAAATATTGGTAACAATGGAGCGTGGCACAATTTTGGCATCTATAATTAATTCAGGGGAAGAAGCCCCATACAGACTTGTGCTAAATGCCATGCCAGAGTGAGTGAAATGTCTCCATTCCCACTAATCATGGTTAACTAATGGAAAATTTGGGGTACCAAAGTTTATTGCCATTTAACTGCAAATTTAAGGCTTGACATGTTGGGTATTTATTTACTCAAAGCAACCTTATCTTCTATATTTTACCAGCAATTGGGTAATTTATTTCATTTGTGTGCCCTAAAATTGCCATTTAAAAGATTAATTAATTAATTAATGGAGTTCACCTTTGGGAACATGTTACATGTTCCACCTGTTTTTAGGGTGGAACATATAACATGTTCCTAATGCTGCAACCTTTGCCTGATCCCCTTCCCTCCCTGTGACAGCAATATGAGTGGAGTTCCCCCCACATGGCTGCATCATTCATTCACAGAGTTCTGTAATTGAATGAAATTCAAGTTCCGACAGCCTTAGTAGCTGTCGGCTTGTAGTTTTCAATGAACTACCACATCGCCCTGGTAGTTCATTGATTCTTCCTGTCAGTATATCTGCTTGCCTGTACATCCCATATAGGCAAGCAGATATACAGACAGCTCTGCAGGAGACCTGAATGGCACCAGCGATCTGCGGATCACTGGTGCAATGCTATCCAGGTTTCTACAACAAAAAATAATAAACGTACATTTTTTACCTGCAAAAAAATTTGCATTTATTATTTTTTGTTAAATGATGAACTTATCCATTAACTTTACTTTATTTGTTACTGAAATTTTGCCTTTGATAAACCGTGGTTCTAATATCATGTAACAAAAAACTGAAACTTCCACTATTTTATTTTTCATGGTTTCTGCTTTCAGAAAATATATACTTTTTTGGGGGGTTTTAAGCAAACTTTAAGCCTAAAATGATTGAACCACAAAATTTCTCTGGCAATGAAAGAGTTAAAGCTAATCTCTGGGCTCCCCCTTCCTGAACCACAAGAGACCTGGGTACTGGACTTAGGTAAGTATTAAGCCAGCCATAGATGTTTAGTTTGGCCAGGTCAGCAGGGACCGGCTGAGATTTGAACCATCTATGCACAGAACGATTGTACCCAGTGCAATTGTTACAGTATGACTTGGGTACAACCAGCCTATCAGATTTTTCATGCGATTACTGCCAGCGGCTTTAGCTGCTAGCAATATTCACTGTGTTCTTCTGACTTACCCCCACCGGGTGAATACAATAGCTCCGCGGGAGGGATTCCCCCATTAACATGTACTGCGACCCATGGTTGCAGGAAAGAAAACAGCATCATTTATGGCTGGCATGAAACTCTCCAGCAGGTTTTAGTCTCCAGTCACACTGCTGTGATGTAAAATTGCACAATTTGTGTGCAATTTCAGCACGATTTCAGATACGATTTCTGAAAACTTTATTGCTACTTGTGAAGATTTTCAACAATTTCAAACAGTGCGTTTTATATTATATTCTATGTATATAAATCCTGTATAATAATAATGTATGTGAAATAGCAACAAAACTGCAAAAAAAGTAATGCAAGAACTACTTTAGAAATTGCGCTGCAGCAAATCGCAAATGTTAGGACACTGACACTCACATTCATTAGATGCAATTTCAGGTGCAATTTCAATTAACAGATCGCACCTGAAATCGCACTGGTATGACCAGGGGTGGACTGACAACTCATGGGGCCCCGGGGAATAGGGGATCATGGGACCCATGTGTCCTTGCCCAAACTCAAAAAAGCCTATGAAAAAGGTACCGGGGCATTTCATGGGGCCCCCTCCTGACCCCGGGCCCTTGGGCAGTGCCCGGGTTTCCAAATGGTCAGTCCGCCCCTGGGTATGACCAGGCACTTACTGGGGTTACTGTTAGCCCTAAGATGGGCATTTAAGAATTTCCAACATTTATTGAGTTTTCTGATGCTCATGGATTCTCTTATTGTCTTCATCCAGATCAGTCTAATTTAGATTTCGCTTCATAATTGTGTTTATACACTCAAGTAACATATTTATTGAGAGAAAACAATTCCCTCTGTTTGATTGCCGGATTGCCAGGGACAGTCAAAAATTTTTTAATGATGTCCCGCCATGCCTCAGTGCTGGCCAGTGTCCCGGAAATCCAAGATCAGGGTGGGGGTCCTGGCCAGTGTCCTGGAAATCCGAGATCAGGGGGGGGCAGCAGCAGATAGGGGTTTCAAATTGTGCATGAGCCTAGCGTAGTTAAAAGATTAAAAACTTTCCTTGCCTCATTTGCTCAGCGGGAAGGGGAGGGGCGCGACAGGCTGAGGACTATTTCTATATTTTTGGCAGATGGATACAAAAGCAGCTGGCAGTTTAGTTTACTAATAGGAAACAGCAGCGCTACAGATTACTCCGTCACTCCCCAGAGGGGGGGGGTAAGAGTGAGTAGAAGCCATTCGACAGCCATCCCCACCTGATAGAGACCCCAGTCATCTCCATCCTACACACACCTCCATCCAGTCTTCTCCATCCTGCACACAGTCCATCCAGTCATCTCCATCCTGCACACACGTCCATCCAGTCACCATCCTACACACTCCTCCATCCGGTCATCTCTATCCTACACACACACAGTCATCTCCAACCTGTCAACCAATCACACACACACCTCTATCCTGTCATCTCTATCCTACACACACACACAATCCTTTCTATCCTGCACACACAAAGTCATCTCCATCCTGCACACACACACACCTCCATCCAGTCACTCCTATCCTACACACACATCTCCATCCTCCCTCGTTCTGCACTGTACATTCCCTATTTAACATTACCACATTCTGCACTATGTCAGTCATCCCAGACTCTATTTAACCACACTCTTTGTAAGCCATGCTATCCTTTTGTCATGGCTGCGACCACACCCATAACATATGAATGCCCCACCCCTAATTAAAGTGGTTAAATTTTCAAAATGTTGGCAACTATGGAGACCATGTTTACCCACAGAGGGCTGCACAAGTGTTCTGTGCATTCCCATGCAAGTAGTCCCATTACTGTCAAATGGGATGGAGCAGCTGTGCAGACATAGTCACTGTTCCCAATGCAGGACAATCCTTGCATTGGGTATGGGGCCATGCACCCAATCCAATCCTTGCATGGGTGCATGGCCCCAGACGTACCTGCACAAATGTCACATTGGGAGCAGCAGCTGTGTCCATGCAGCTGCTGTGGCCCAATTGATAGCAGTGGAACTGCCTGCATGGTGATCCACAGAACAACTGTTCTTCCCAGTGTGGGTAAACATAAACACAGCCCTCCAGGGGGGTACAGTTATGTATGCTTGTGAGAACAAGGTCTTAGAATTAGTTAACCCTTAGCAAATATTTAATCAAAAATGAAATTAGTCTGCAGAGAAAATCAGAAAAATACAAAAACAGGAAATGACATTTCTGGGAGCATTCTATACTCCAATAGTGTATAGACCCCCCCCCCCCCCCACACAGGTTGTCATGCTGTATTGACTATTTAAAATTTTTTAGAAAATTACAGACTAAAAGGTAATTTTTAATAACATTCAATTAAAAAACGGCTTGAGTAACAATTTGATTTTTTTCAAGGAAATTGGAATTCTTCTATAAGGTGTGTTTTATTCTTCAGGTGTCACAGCAGTTGAGATGGATTTAGAAGATGAAAAAACAAGGCAGGAACATCAAGATAGCAGAAAACAGAAGCACCTGAAGTTGTGCAAAGGAATGAGTCTTTGTGTATGTTATTCTGCCAGCATTGGGGGCATTGCAACACTAACGGGAACCACACCCAATCTGGTCATGAAAGGACAGATGGATCAGTAGGTTGTACTCTTTTAAAAGACTTGTAATGTAGGTTCACAAAGTACACTTGGCATATGGAATATTAACTGAGAAGAAATATATACACTCTAATGCATTGAAATACATTTGCTTCTATATTAATGCCACATGCTTATCAGGAACTGACCCAAAAAAATGACCATTTTTTTGTTATTACTATACCATTTAAAAATGTATGGTTACCTTATAACATTTACTACATTAACCTATATTATAGTTTCTTATTAACATTTATGTTCCTTTAGTTAAAAAGTACAGTCAGGTCCATAAATATTGGGACATCGACACAATTCTAAAATTTTTGGCTCTATACACCACCACAATGGATTTGAAATGAAACGAACAAGATTTGCTTTAACTGCAGACTGTCGGCTTTAATTTGAGGGTATTTACATCCAAATCAGGTGAACGGTGTAGGAATTACAACAGTTTTCATATGTGCCTCCCACTTGTTAGGGGGCCAAAAGTAATGGGACAATTGGCTTCTCAGCTGTTCCATGGCCAGGTGTGTGTTATTCCTTCATTATCCCAATTACAATGAGCAGATAAAAGGTCCAGAGTTCATTTTAAGTGTGCTATTTGCATTTGGAATCTGTTGCTGTCAACTCTCAAGATGAGATCCAAAGAGCTGTCACTATCAGTGAAGCAAGCCATCATTAGGCTGAAAAAACAAAACAAAACCCATCAGAGAGATAGCAAAAACATTAGGCGTGGCCAAAACAACTGTTTGGAACATTCTTAAAAAGAAGGAATACACCAGTGAGCTCAGAAAGACCAAAAGAATCAGAGACCACGGAAAACAACTGTGGTGGATGACTGAAGAATTCTTTCCCTGGTGAAGAAAACACCCTTCACAACAGTTGGCCAGATCAAGAACACTCTCCAGGAGGTAGGTGTATGTGTGTCAAAGTCAACAATCAAGAGAAGACTTAACCAGAGTAAATACAGAGGGTTCACCACAAGATGGAAACCATTGGTGAGCCTCAAAAAGAGGAAGGCCAGATTAGAGTTTGCCAAACGACATGTAAAAAAAGCCTTCACAGTTCTGGAACAACATCCTATGGACAGATGAGACCAAGATCAACTTGTACCAGAGTGATGGGAAGAGAAGAGTATGGAGAAGGAAAGGAACTGCTCATGATCCTAAGCATACCACCTCATCAGTGAAGCATGGTGGTGGTAGTGTCATGGCGTGGGCATGTATGGCTGCCAATGGAGCTGCTTCTCTTGTATTTATTGATGATGTGACTGCTGACAAAAGCAGCCGGATGAATTCTGAAGTGTTTCAGGCAATATTATCTGCTCATACTCAGCCAAATGCTTCAGAACTCATTGGACGCCGCTTCACAGTGCAGATGGACAATGACCCAAAGCAGACTGCAAAAGCAACCAAAGAGTTTTTTAAGGGAAAGAAGTGGAATGCTATGCAATGGCCAAGTCAATCACCTGACCTGAATCCGATTGAGCATGCATTTCACTTGCTGAAGACAAAACTGAAGGGAAAATGCCCCAAGAACAAGCAGGAACTGAAGACAGTTGCAGTAGAGGCCTGGCAGAGCATCACCAGGGATGAAACCCAGCATCTGGTGATGTCTATGCGTTCCAGACTTCAGGCTGTAATTGACTGCAATGGATTTGCAACCAAGTATTAAAAAGTGAAAGTTTGATTTATGATTATTATTCTGTCCCATTACTTTTGGTTCCTTAACAAGTGGGAGGCAGATATGCAAACTGTTGTAATTCCTGCACCGTTCACCTGATTTGGAGGTAAATACCCTCAAATTAAAGCTGACAGTCTGCAGTTAAAGCACATCTTGTTCGTTTTATTTCAAATCCATTGTGGTGGTGTATAGAGCCAAAAATGTTAGAATTGTGTCGATGTCCCAATATTTATGGACCTGACTGTACATTCAACCTATTATGTCATCCCTATACAGTAAGTGCAGGAACATAGTACTCACTAATGTGTGTGTTAAAATTAGTGCATTCTGACATGTTTGTATAGGTTTCAATATACTGCATGTACAGTGCCTTGAAAAAGTATTCATAGCATTCATGGCCTTTATAGAAGAGTGGCAAGAAGAAAGCCATTGTTGAAAGAAAGCCATAAGAAGTCCCATTTGCAGTTTACGAGAAGCCATGTGGGGGACACAGCAAACATGTGGAAGAAGGTGCTCTTGTCAGATGAGACCAAAATTGAACTTTTTGGACTAAAAAGCAAAACACTATGTGTGGCAGAAAACTAAACACTGCACATCACCCTGAACACAATATCCCCACTATGAAACATGGTGGTGGCAGCATCATGTTGTGGGGATGCTTTTCTTCAGCAGAAACAGGGAAGCTGGTCAGAGTGGATGGGAAGATGGATGGAGCCAAATACAGGGCAATCTTAGAAGAAAACCTCTTAGAGTCTGCAAAAGACTTGAGACTGGGGCAGAGCTTCACCTTACAGCAGGACCGCAACTCAAAACATACAGCCAGAGCTACAATTGAATGGTTTAAATCAAAGCATATTCATGTGTTAGAATGGCCCAGTCAAAGTCCAGACCTAAATCCAATTGAAAAAATTGTGGCAAGACTTGAAAATTGCTGTTCACAGACGCTGCTCTCCATCCAATCTGACAGAGTTTGAACTATTTTTCGAAGAATGGGCAAAAAATTCACTCTCTAGATGTGCAAAGCTGGTAGAGACATCCCCAAAAAGACTTCCATCCGTAATTGCAGCGAAAAGTGATTCTACAAAGTATTGAATCAGGGGGGCTGAATACAAATGCATGCCACACTTTTCAGATATTTATTTGTAAAACATTTTGAAAACCATTTGTCATTTTCCTTCCACTTCACAATTATGTGCCACTTTGTGTTGGTCTATCACATAAAATCCCAATAAAATACATTTACGTTTTTGGTTGTAACATGACAAAATTGGAAAATTTCAGGGAGTATGAATACTTTTTACAAGGCACTGTACATTCTTTTGTTTCATATTAATTGATTTTTCTTTCATCTCAACTAATAAAAAAAGAGATGATGTTACCTCTATCTCCCCCCTTCCTCAGGAGCGGTCATTCGGCTAATGGTACTGGCAAAATTGGTTGTGTGCGCCGGGTTGTTAGGGTTTTGTTTTTTTGTTTTTAGGGCCATCATGATGATAAATTTATGATAAATTTACTTTTTTTTTAGTTACATTTTTTAACAAAGGACTTGTCAAACTTTGGGTGTCTTTACTTCTAAGTTACATCTTTTTTTTTTTGTAATGAGTAGGGCTATGTACCCCTTAATCATTAATGTAGGGGGTGGTATCTGAGACCTCCCTTATTTCAGATTTTAACAAGCCCCCCACCACCACTTGCAGACCTCTACAACCATTGGCCAGCTTTAAGGGGAAGAGGCCTTATCAACATTGGCAACCCCCCATGTTGAGGGTATGTGGCCTGGTATTGGCCAAGCTGCATACTTAGATTAAGAGCCTGGGATGGATTTTACAGAGAATCTCACTTATTTTTTGGTTTGTTTTGCGTGTGAGGTACCAGAGGGTCTGATATACATTTGGGGGAGGGGGGGGCACTATGTAATTTTTTTTTTATATTCTTGTAATAGGATGGGCTGCAGCAAAAAGGACATTAAAAAAGAAAAAAAAATAACAGCACACAGACCCCTCCAAAGGTCCCACAAAACAGGGGTCACCCCAAAATTGGAGAGGTCTGCTTTATTTGCCAGCAATTTTAAACACTTTTCCCTTTGTATATGTGCCCCTTCACAGGCAGGATTAGTAACTCTGATACAATCAGTTAGCATTCAAAACACTGCTTTAGTAGTTAAAAAGAATACATATGGAAATGTTCCTAATGTCATCATTTATATTGAAGGATGTAATAATTTCTGAACCAGCACTTATACACTACTTTATAGATTGCCATTGTTTTAGTGATAAACAGACCTTTTCTTGCAGATTGTTCCCTGGAAACAATAATGTAATCAATTTTGCTTCATGGTTTGGATTTGCCTTCCCTACAATGTTATTGTTACTTGCTCTCGCCTGGATCTGGCTACAGATTATGTTTCTGGGAACCAAGTAAGTCTATTACGGCATCTATATTTAATAAGTCAAAGGCCAGTTTATTGTAAAATTAACTACCTGTATAAATAGCTGCAGTTTACTGCTTGTGACCTACATATGCACTATATTAAAGCAGAAATCCGGGCAAACATATTTTTGAACCATGCAGCGGGGCTGTGCCCACACTGCATGGGCTAACTGCTTGTTTTTGTCTAGGGGTGATAACAGTGAAGATATACTTATCGTCCCTGCCGCTTCTGCCCGCCTGCATGCTAGCGCTCTTATGAATAGACTGCTCCTGACGTCATCATGCCCATAGACCGCTCTGGGCACGAGGACGGCAGGAACAGTCCACCGCTGGACATGGGGGAGCGCAGTTTTTCTGGAGGAGCGGAGGACATAGTAAGTATAGCTCTTCCCTAAACACCTAGACAAACTGAGCAGTATTCCCATGCAGTGTGGAGTTCTGCTTTAAGTATACAATATTTCTCATAGTTTATGTCCAGCCAAAACATTTTAAGTTAGTTTTAGATAGAAGGGGGAAAGAGTTGGAACATCTGTTAGATTACTACTGCTGTCCAGGGTCTGTTAGAAGGATTTCCCACTGACAATGGTTTTACCATACAGGAAGTGAGAGAAAATCTGCAACAGAGACACGTACAACAATAACACTCTGACAGGGATTCTATCCTTCACCTACACTACTGATAAATAAAACATTTTTACTTCTAACTGTGTTTCTGATTTGCAGAACAGGAAGTAAAAAATAGATCTACCAGATCTTCACAAAAAAAAAACCCCCAGCAAAGTTTCCATCAATATTAAAAATAAAAAAGTTATGGTCATATAAGTACATATTTACAGCATTGGTTCATGTAAATCATGAAAATTCAAGCAACTTTCCAAACAAAAACTTTCATCCTTTTACTTTCCATTGCTGACCCTTGATGTCCAGTGGGAACTTAAGCTGTATTCTCAAATGCATGTCAGTTCAGAACTGTTTGCTGATAGTTGATAAAACTGTACACACCTTTTATCTCATGAAAAGGATGACAATGAAGCAGAGGATGCCCTTTTTCACTGAGTAACAGTACAGAATGTCTTGTACCTTTCATGCTGCTGAATTCCTACTGTTGCGTGTAGAGAATTTTAGGGCTATAAAACTTATGATGTTGGGACAGTAAACTCCCTTCAATGTATCAAATAAGTATAATGAATAACATAGACTCTTTTTGTTAATATCATAAAAGTACACTTATCCTCTAGAAAAAGATGATTTATCAGCTGTTGTCTGCATGTCTTCCGCAGATTTAAGAAGAATTTTGGTTGTGGCGGAAAACCAGAACAAAAGGCAAAAGAAAAGAGAGCATACCAAGTCATCTTTGAAGAGCACAAGAAACTGGGCTCCATGACATTTGCAGAAATCTGTGTCTTGGTTCTTTTCACCTTGTTGGTTATTTTATGGTTCACTAGAGATCCAGGCTTCATGCCAGGATGGGCAACTATCAGCTTTAACAAAGACGGAAAAGAGTAAGTTGATAGAAAACTGTTAAAAATATAAATTTGTGTCTAGAGACTCTTGACTATTAGCTTTTGCTGCTTTCATAAAAAATCCCAAATATACTTTTTTTAATGCCAGCAGGAAATATGTTTTCTACTTTCCAATACCATGTAAATTGTATTCTTGTAGATGATTTTTATTGTAATGTCCAGTGAAGTCAAGTTGTATTCCAATCTTCACAATATTTCATTATTTATGGTATTTATATATAACTCCACATATAAAACAGCACTCTCTAGGGCACATTCATCTATTCAGATCAATTCCTGTCTTTCTACAAAGCTCACATTTCAATATTTTCTATTCCCTCATATATACACTATGGCCAATTTAGAGCTAGTTAACCTAACCGTATATTTTTGGATTGTGAGCAGAAGCCAGACACACCTGTTCAAAAATTAGGAGAACATTTAAACTCCACGCATAGAGCATCCATAGATTCATAAATCCAGAGCTATAGGGCAAGAGCAGGGGCGGACTGACAACTCATGGGGTCCCTGGGCAATAGGGGATCATGGGGCCCCTGTGTCCTTGCCCAAACTCAAAAATCCTATGAAAAAGGTACCAGGGGCATCTCATGGGGCCCCCTACTGACCCCGGGCCCTTGGGCAGTGCCCGAGTTTCCAAATGGTCAGTCTGCCCCTGGGCAAGAGTAATAACCACTTGACCACCCTTCTATCCAGTAATAGTGCTTCTTCGAATATTCTTTAGGATCATATAAACAGTAACAGGTGTATATGTTATGAGATCTAAAGTAGATACAGTAGCTATAAATATCTGCTTCACTGTTGATAGAAATAAGCTGTAAAGAGAAGAGAGAAATATGAAGGTTGCCACTGCAAACCCTCATCATCTGAAAATGCTTGTTGCTCGGCTTTTCTACTGGTTCTTTGTCTTTATTGCTTTCTGAAGTATTGATTTGGAGTAAGTATTTATTAAGAGACGTCAGAGTAAACCAGAGGACCTGACCTACATATTTGTTCCAGTGGAGGTGACTGAGAAGTTTTGTCAGCATGTCAGCCAGGCAACTGCATTTTTGGAGAGATCAGAAGTGGTTACTTAAATACTATATTTCTCGTATTTCAAGTTCTTCCATTTACTTCTAATTCGTTTTCTTAATTTATCTTTACCAATACCCCACTTTGTTTTTCCTCTTTCTTTTCTATCTTTTCCAGGTTCTTATTTATTTTCCTTTACATTTATTCCCCTATACTCTGACCACTTCTAAAAATCTTTTTGTTTTTTTGAAAAGATACCATCCTTCCCAGACCTTCTTAAATTTTTCCATTTTGTCCTCAACAATATGGTATAATTCTTCCATCCTATGTATATACTCAACTCTGTTCATTCAGTCTTTTATTTTTGGGGGTTCTGCTGTTTGCCAATATTTAGGAATAAGGCTTTTGGCCGCATTTAAGAGATGGAACAATATCATATTTTTATATTGCTTCGCCAAAAGCTCCTTTTTATAAAATAGGAAAACCCACGGGTCCAATGGACAATGAGACAAGTGGGGGGGGGGGGGGGGGATAGGGGAAGAAACTAAGTAAAGAGTTTTGTTTTGTATGAAGTTGGTAAGAAATGGATTTGTACTTTTAAAAATCAATAAAGATATAGTATTTATTTTTATTTTATTATTATATATCTCTCAGTACAGGTTTCTTTACAAAGTAGTACCATTGCCTATTCTTTGATGAACAGGATAAGAATTTTAATCAGCTGAATAAATTGTGAAATCTCTATGACCAGCCATGACTTTCTACATTGTCTCTTGATTCACAACAAAGATTGTTGTAACTTTTACTTACTTTTTCGATGCCTTTAAAGTCCAACTAGGGGGGTTTCACTCCAATACAACTTTCTATTTTAGGGATGTTGGCATCCATTAGAGATACCTCTAACTTTTTCATATCTTGACTCACAACAGGTCAACAGTAGGCATCTGTGGATGGAGATGGTTCACTTTAGAAGACATAATGGCCTTCATAAAAGCACTGACACTTTCATATGATAAAAAAGGCAGGTTATAATTATGACCTGCCTTAATTCTATGCAACATTTTACTTGCCACAAAGGCCTGCTTTAAAACAGTTAATTACCATCTTGGTCTGATCTCTTGTAACTATATTTGAGAAAGTTTGACTATAATTTGTTTATATCTGTTTTGTAGGTATGTCACAGATGCCACGGTTGCTGTATTTGTAGCACTTATGTTGTTCCTTTTTCCATCTGAATTTCCATCCTGTAAAGCCCAGGACCCAGACACAGAGCAGACAGGTAAACTTGCAATTTTTTAATTGCATTTCATTGTCTTCTTTTTATTTTCTTTTTCCTTTAATTTTTTTTTGGCTTTATGTTTAAACAGTAACTATAAAACAACATTAAAAAGGCATTTCAGGTCCCCTTAATAGAGCATAGAGCAAATGAGCCTAGATGCTAGAAATCTTCATTTTGTTTTAGTTTTTTTATGCAATTTCAGGCACAAGATTGCAAGCAGACATGTGGAGAACAAAAACATTTGTTTTGTTAAGTTATTCATTTCGTTTCATTGCATTTGTAACAAAATTAGTTTTATTAGTTTTCGATCGGATTCGAAAATGAATGGATTTGAAGTATTCGAATGTAATTCGAACTGAAAATATCAAATCCAGGCAAAATTCATTGGGAGAAATTGCTGGCTGTTAAGTAGCGGGGTGGCCTTCTGGCTACCGCATCCTTAACAACCATGACTCTTCTGGTTTGTTCATATTCTGCTGTCAGCGGGAATCCCGCTGACAGCAGATAAGTCATGCCTGTTAAGGATGCAGCAGCAGAGAGGACACAGCAGCTGGGAGGCTGCCTCACTCCTTTATAACCAGCTATTATCAAATTCATTAGAATCATTTGTTTCATTCGAAAATCAAATGAAAAAATGAATTTAAATAATGTTTAATTCAGATTCATAGAAATTAGCTACAGTGGATATAAAAAGTCTATACACCCCTGTTAAAATGTCAGGTTTCTGTGATGTAAAAAATGAGACAAAGATAAATAATTTCAGAACTTTTTCCACCTTTAATGTAACCTATAAACTAAACAACTCAGTTGAACAACAAACAAAATCTTTTAGGTGGAGGGAAGTAAAAATAAAAAAGCTAAAATGATATGGTTGCATAATTGTGCACACCCTTAAACTAATACTTTGTTGAAGCGTCTTTTGATTTTATTCCAGCTCTCCGTCTTTTTAGGTATGAGTCTATCAGCATGGCAGTTCCTGACTTGGCAATTATTTGCCCACTCTTCCATGCAATAACACTTCAAATCTGTCAGATTGTGAGGGCATCTCCTGTGCACAGCCCTCTTCAGGTCACCCCACAGATTTTCGAATTTTTGGATTCAGGTCTGGGCTCTGGCTGGGCCATTCCAAAACTTTAATCGTCTTCTGGTGAAGCCATTCCTTTTTTGATTTGGATGTATGCTTTTGGTCTCTGTCATGCTGAAAGATGAAGTTCCTCTTCATGTTCAGCTTTTAGCAGAAGCCTGAAGGTTTTGTGCCAATATTGACTGGTATTTGGAACTGTTCATAATTCCCTCTACCTTGACTAAAGCCCCAGTTCCAGCTGAAAAAAAACAGCCCCAAAGCATGATGTTGCCACCACCCATGCTTCACTGTGGGTATGGTGTCCTTTTGGTGATGTGCAGTGTTGTTGCACCAAAAACATATCTTTTGGAATTATGGCCAAAAAGTTCAACCTTGGTTTCATTCAGACCATAACACATTTTCCCACATGCCTTTAGGAGAATTCAGATGTGTTTTTGCAAAATTTAGCCGGGCTTGGATGTTTTTCTTCGTAAGAAAAGGCTTCTGTCTTGCCACTCTACCCCATAGCCCAGCCATACGAAGAGTACGGGAGATTGTTGTCACATGTACCACACAGGCAGTACTTGCCTGATATTCCTTCAGATCCTTTAATGTTTCTGTAGGCCTCTTAGCAGCCTCCCATACTAGTTTTCTTCTCGTCTTTTCACCAATTTTGGAGGGACGTCCAGTTCTTGGTAATGTCACTGTTGCGCCATATTTTCTACACTTGATGATGACTGTCTTCACTGTGTTCAAAATTCTTTTGTACCTTCTCCTGACCAATGGGATCAATGACCCTTTTTAACAATGAGATCCCTCTCTGATGCTTTGGAAGTTCTCTGCGGACCATGGCTTTTGCTGTAGGATGTGACTAAGAAAATGTCAGGAAAGGACCTACTAGAAACTAACTGAACTTGATATTGGGGTTAATCAGAGGCACTTTAAATGATGGCAGGTGCGTTTTACTGACTCCTGATTTTGAATGTGATTTGCTTAATTCTGAACACAGCTACTATCCCCAGTTATAAGAGATCGAAGATAGGTTGTGCACACTTATGCAACACATTATTTTAGTTTTTTTTTTATGTTTACTGCCCCCCCTAAAAGATTTCATTTTTGTTTTTCAATTGAGTTGTACAGTTTTTTTAGGTCACATTAAAGGTTGAAAAAGTTCTGAAATGATTTATCTTTATCTAATTTTTGACAATCATAGAAACTGAGATTTTAACAGGATGTGTGTAGACTTTTTATATCCACTGTACTGTTGTATTCAGGGGAAATTCAGATCATACATCCAAATTTCCAAATAATGAAAAATTCATTCTCAAATTTCAAGACCATTGCGCTGATAGCTTTTTTAACCTAACTTTCTCGAACAAAAAAAATATTAGCTCTTGATGAACAAGCTCCTTTTACATAATATTGGTGCAGTACAGAGGAATGGGATTGGTCTCCTGATGAGCTTTTAAAAATTACTTATTTTGGAGCGGGCCGGCTTGGGGGATGGACGTGTGAGAGGGACTAGAGGTCGCGCCATCCGTCCATCAGTCAGCAGAGACATGGAACACGGCCGACAATGGGAGAGATCCGAGTGACTCAAATTTACACATAAGGATTACATTAACCCCTCTGTCTACCATGGCCAAGGAGGAGGAAAAGCCCCAGGACAGCCAGGGAAGCTGACAAGCTTCTTCCCTGCTGTCCCCTCATTGCAGTTTAAGATGGCGCCAACTTCAGCATGAATGGACACACTGAGCTGTGACAGAGAGACCAGAGGCACAGCACCTGGATTCCCAGATTAAGCGCACCACTGTTACCCAGGAGACCCGGGTGAGTCCTCTCCTACCCTGTCTCCCACCACAAGCAGCCCTGCTAAATCTAGACCAGATTATGATACTGGAATCCACTCCTGACAACCAACTCTTTATCTCTACACATATCCTACCTCAAAATAATCATTCTGCTCCATCTTTAATTGTATCCTTTCATGCTTTCTGAATCAACCTATCACTGAGATGATTTCTATGAAAAAACATGCTTTCGTTTCTCTGCGTCAAACCCCACACTCCACACATCTGATTCGACTGCGTCACTATCCCAAATTCTCTAATGTGATACAAACAACTAGATCTACGCATACGCCATATTTATTGAAAAACAAAAAGGGGGAGGAAAATGTTCACAGCCCATAATGACTTGATTGACGCACACGCTGATCATGAAGCTGATATTGAGACTAATAATAATCCTTAAATTAGCTGTTTAGTAGAGCGAGCCAGACGCGCAATATACATCTCAAAATTTAGAGGACATACCTGAATCTATTACCCAACGATGCCATGGACTCCATTATCTCCAAATACAAGTACATAAAAATCCTCATTACCTTACTCTCACTAATATGGAAAAACAACTTGGCACATAGATCGAGGACGCAACAGAATACCCATGGCCTAGACTTTCTTACCAAGCCTCTTATCCCAGTAGAGTGTAACTGGCACGTAGTACACTTTTTACCATGTAAAAAGAGAAAATAATGTCAACAGCCAAGAAATCTCTCATCCCCTTCTTGGCCACTTCACACGCAATAATATCTAATTATTAATTGATGTTTATCCAATAAGCCGACCATACTCTCTCAACTGAAAAAAAGCTCATTACCATTAACACTATAGTCTCTGGAGGAACCATTGGGATTATAGGTTATCACAATGGGTTTAGGTTATCAATGGGGCTTCGGCCCACAAAGCTTACCATGCAAAAGAGAATCTAGTAGGCATCGAATCTCCTATAAAAATACTGGAACATTGAACATATATCCGGCGGAATCTCAACCCACTGCCAGCTCCTGCCAACTCCCCACTATCAGCGCAATTGGATTGCTGAGTGGTCCTGATTATACAAGCCCGACTTTTCTATCTTAAATAACACTGGCCATTCTAGGGCACTCGCTCCGCTTACCTTGAACCAAGAACTGCTGGCAGAAACTGCCCCAAAGCGTAGCATTTTCTAAGTTATCAGATACTTTTTTTGTTTGGGGTGTGTGGGGGGGGGGGTCCGTTGGGTGGGTGGGGGGGGTGAGCTGACCTCTTTTATGGTCTTGATGCTTGTTCAAAACCCCCATAGTTATACGAGTAGCAATTCACGCTACTCATGTTACACTTGCATTTCTCGCTATGTCTTTTTTTATCCCTCGCTACCCTTTTTCCCCCACCCCTCCTGCTACCCATCAGTCAAGATGGAATCACTTCAACGTTCAACTTACTCGCATCTCCGATCATCACAAGCATAAAAACTCCACCTGAGTCAAGTTGATCGTTCACTGTATAATCATTCATTTGTGTTAGGACGACCACCACTCCTAATTAACTACAAAATCCACATGTACCAGTCTCATCGAAGATAAGAAATGGACATCTCTCTAACCAACTTAACTCCAATCAAATGCTTATCAAAGTGATTTTAATAATATCATGGTCTTAATTGTTCCGTGGTCTAAACTCCCCCTTTAAGAGGTTCACTGCTCTCTAATAGAAAACTCGCGATCCTTACATGCCTGATGTACGTTTTCGATTTACCAGAGGTTATAAAAAAGTATAAACACACGTTCTGCAACAACAAAATATTCCCAAAATTCCAACCTGTCGACATTTGTCTCCCTATATATTAATAATGGCAAAACAACCCTTAAAGAGAAAAATGGTGTCTATTTACAGCCATATAAAAGACTCTATCCATTCACAAAACATATATCTCAGAAACAATAGATCCTCAAGGTCGATACTCATATCCTGATCTGCAAAGCTCACACATATTTATACACACACCCTATAGTCAACGTCATATGGCCTTTCCTGTAACTCCAATCAATTTTACAATTCTTACTAATAGACTTCAAATCGAA